GGGGGGGGGAAGGGGAACATCTTAGATTGGCCAAGTCAATCACCAGACCTGAATACGACAGAGCATGCGTTTCACCTCCTTAAGAGGAGACTGAAGAGACAGCCCCCCCCTACCCCGGGGGGGGGGGGGAAGTGGAACATCTTAGATTGGCCAAGTCAATCACCAGACCTGAATACGACAGAGCATGCGTTTCACCTCCTTAAGAGGAGACTGAAGAGACAGCCCCCCCCTACCCCAAAACAAACAAGAACTGAAAGGGGCTGCAGTAAAGGCCTGGAAGATCATTTCATATAAAGAAGTCAACCGTCAACGGCGCGCAGGCTTAACGCACTCAGCGCAAGTACGGGTTGTGCACCAAACATTCAATGTTATTCTCTTTAAAACGCATTCAGTACCAGCCAATTCTAGACCAAGTCTGAAAAGACGTTTAAAAACGTCTTTGGGAGTGAATGAGTTAACTTAATCACCGTCTGTTCCAATACTTTTGCTCACTTTAAAAGTCGGTGGCTTCAAATAAAAGGTGCACTGTGCCCTGAACGCATCTCGATGTAAATACCATGAAATAAAAGCTGCATTTCTGACCTTTTGTCTCGTATTCATCTTTCGGATCTGAAACGCCGATATCTTTGGCAAAGAACAAAAACAAAGGAATGGACCTTGCCGTTCCAAGACTTATGGAGGGGACCGCAAATATTCATGGAACGCATGAAAAAAAATCTTCATCCACTCAACACATCATTGATGAAGTAACGCCGAGTTGGCCTTTTGTGTTGCAGAACTCCATCCGGCACAACCTTTCACTGCACAGCCGCTTCATCCGCGTCCAGAACGAAGGCACGGGCAAGAGTTCCTGGTGGATGATCAACCCAGATGGAGGCAAGGGCGGCAAAGCCCCTCGCCGCCGCGCCGTCTCCATGGACAACAGCAACAAGTACACCAAGTCGGCCCGCGGACGCGCCGCCAAGAAAAAGGCCGCTCTGCAAGCCGCGGCCGCGGCCGGCGACGCCAACGGCGAGAGTCCCTCGGGACTGTCCAAGTGGCCGGGGAGCCCGACGTCACGCAGCAGCGAGGAGCTGGACGCCTGGACGGACTTCCGCTCCCGCACTAATTCCAACGCCAGCACTCTGAGCGGCCGTCTTTCGCCCATCCTGGCCAACCCGGAGCTGGACGAGGTCCCCGATGACGAAAGCCCCCTCTCGCCCATGCTGTACTCCAGTCCCGGCAGAGCTTTGTCTCCCGGCAACGTGGCCGCCAACGGGAAGCCCGCCCCCGCCGAGCTGCCCCGTTTGGCGGATCTGGCCGGGACGATGAACCTGAACGACGGACTCGCAGACGAGCTGATGGACGAGCTGGATAACGTCAACTTGGTGACAACCGCTTCGGGACAAGTGCCCTCCAACGGGACCTCGGGGTTCGCTTTTGTCCCGAAATCCAACGGGCTGGGCTCGCCCGCCCCCAACGCTTCACCCTCATCCAACTCTTCTCCCAACAGCGGAGGAAATTACAGCAACTCCATCTTTGGCTCCCACCCGCCGGGCTCCTCCCTGCGTCCGTCCCCCATGCAAACCATCCAGGAGAACAAGCAGACGTCTTTCTCCAGCTTCGGCAGCGTGACTCTCCAGGACCTGCTGAACTCCGACAGCCACAGCGACGTCATGATGACCCAGTCGGACCCGCTCATGTCGCAAGCCAGCGCCGCCGCCATCGTGTCCCAGAACTCCCGCCGCGGCTTCATGCTCCGCAACGATCCCATCATGACATTCGGAACGGCCGCAGGGGTTCCGGGCAACCGGGGGGAGATACCCCAAAGCAACAACCACAATCAGAGCTCTGCGAGGTCGATCAACAGAGGCCTGAATTTAGCCAACGAGGTGAACGCTTTGACGAACGCCAAGCAGCAACTCCTACTTTCACCTCTGGGAGGAAACGGGTCCTCCTCCATGCAGATTGATACCTCCATCTTCCTGAACGGGGCGGTGAGCAACGGCGGGGGAGTCTGCCAGGATCGCTTCCCCACAGATCTGGACCTCGACATGTTTAACGGCAGCCTGGAGTGCGACATGGACTCGATCATCCGCAACGAGCTGATGGACGCCGACGGGCTGGACTTTAACTTTGACTCTCTGGTCAACATGAACGGCGTCAGCAACTTCGCGAGCGCCAAGCAGGCCTCTCAGAGCTGGGTACCCGGCTGAAAAGGATGCACGAGGTAAGTCTGACCCCGCCCGTCTCTTAGAACCTCCTTCATAACAGAAATGTATTTTTTGAAAAGTCTCTTGACGCTATACCGGGCTTCCCTGCGACGTCGTTTGAGTTCACGTGAGGTAACGGCAAAATTCAGAGAACTCAGAGACGTCGCCACACTCACTTTACGGTACGTAAAGTGACAAAAAAATTGCACGTAAGTGACAATTCACCCAAAAATGTAAATTGCAAAATTGAAAAATAGATCACCAACGATGCACCTAAAAGAATTCAACATCAGTTCAACCGATTACATATTTTTCAGACGATACATTGCTCCGGATTATCAATCGCATTTTGGGGGGGGAAATGTATTTTACAAAATGCCCAGGCTCCCCAAAAAAAATGGATGATTTTTTTTTTTAAACCATTTTTTTTCCTCTTTTGTAACATTTAACAAATACTAACAAAGTCATGCAAAAAAAGCCTCAAATGTTCTGCAAGTGATTTCTTATTGCAACTGTTAAAAACAAGTTCTTTCAACTCACAGGTGTCCAACTCAAGCCTCGGGGGCCAGATCCGGCCCGCCAGATCATTTTATGTGGCCCACGAAAGCAAATCACGTGTGTCAACTTGCTAAAAATCCGGACCGAAATCTCAAATTGTCATGCGTGATAAATAACGTTGAGGTTTTGCAATAATTTTGCTGGCATGTTTACACTCACTTGAACAATAATTGAACAAACTATTATAATCGACTTGACTGATTTCAAAACTAGTCATCTATTCATTTGTTGTGTACAAATAATAATTTGGTGGTTTCACTGTCAGAACGCCCCTCCACGACTCAAATGAGTTTGACCCCCCCCCCGTTTCAACTCATAAAAATCAACCATCATAATCATCTTTTTTTTTTCTTCTCCCCTCCGCAGGTCTGAACTGCGCATCACAAGAGCAAGTCTGAGACACGCCACCTTTTTTTGCCAACACCAGCCATCAGCACAACATTGAACACCAACCTTGTGTTTACACGACGAACACTCAACTCAACTGTATTTATAGAGCACTTTTCAAACAGCCATCGCTGCATACAAAGTGCTGTACATGGAGCAATTTAACATATACAACAAACAGTAAAGCAAATCGGAGTCGGGGGGCAGGGGGTAGGTGGATCCGTCGGACTTTTAAGCGGTCCACCCCCCTTGGAAAGAGCCTCCTCCGAAACAATAACAACAAAAATAAATAAATCACAAAAACTCTTGAATTATGCAAGTTTTCTCGTGTTTAAGGCTGTCAAAGACGCGTTGCTCATCAGGTGGGATGACAAGGACGAATCACAAATGAATGCACGGCGTGCAATTCAAATCTCACGGACGAGCCGTGTAAAACTGATCCAGTGCATTTTATTTTTCCCAGGGGATGTTGTATTTATCTGCCCTTCCGTGATTTTTTTTTTTTTTTAATGTTCAGTGTTTGTTATTGGGATTTTCCGTTACGTGAAACAGAGCGCCTCGTGTGTGTGCGCGCTACACCACTATCGCCACGCACTTCCTACAAATGGCTTGAACAGAAAAATTTCCACGAATTTTTTTTTTTTTTGAAAGCAGCGACAAAAAAAAAAAAAAAAAAAAAAATTTAAAAAATACAAATATTAAGAAGAAAATTTCACTTGTGGGTATTTGTACAGTACGAACTTTTAAAATTTGTTATCACAGCATATTATGTAGCGGAAAAAAAAATAACGAAACAAAAAAAAAGTGAATCTATGTGTTCTATCGATGTGAACATTTCCACAGCATTACAGGTGCTATGTAAAACAGTGTTTAATCTTGTCCTCGGAGCACCTCGTGCGTTTTACTTGGTTTAGTTTGTAGAATTTTGTGCCGTTTTTGACCCTCGACCTGCAAAAAAAAAAAAATGATGGGAGAGGGGATTGGAGGGGGAGTTTGGTGGGAGTAGGTGCTCATTCCTCCAGAAGCCATTTTTCTCCTCCGGCAAAACAATAAGCTGTGTCTTCTGTACGTTGCCAAATTACTTGAATCAAACAGCAGGATATGCTGGCAGCCAAAATCACAGCACTCATATGCACATCATGTCTAAACACACACACACACACACACACACACACACACACACACACACACAGATAAATTTAAAGACACACAGTGTGTAGCGCTGTTGTCATTAGCTTGGTGGGATTTTTTTTTGTTTTTAATGCGCATGTATTGAAACACTCAGGGGGCGGAAAGCAGGTAGGGTGGGAGCGTATTTGTAAAGGTATTTTCATTCAAATAAATATTTCCGTGATGCTTTGTGACCTGTGAACATTTTGGGCCGTCGAAGTAGATTTTGGGCCACGCTGAAATGAAACGCCAATCGCGAAGTGATCAACACTGAAGTGTGACTCTTGCGAGAGGGAAAAAAAAAAGTGGCCGTTTGAGGGGAATGAAGTCATGATAAGCGCTAGTTATGCATAGGATGAGGTTTTTGTAATCGCACCAACTTGCTAAGAAGAACCGTGGCTCTTGGGTTCATGTTTGCATGGGAATTTTGCGGTGCGCGCGTCAATAAAATGACGTTTTAATCTTAGACACGTCGGACATTTTTCTCAAGAAATTTATTCTGGAGTTTTTCCCTTTCTATCTTTTTTTTTTTCCCCTTGAAAGATTGCAACTTTTTCTCAAAATAATCCACATTTATGATTGTAAAATGTTCAGCATGGCCCTAAAACTCAAACACCATGATGTCAATTTATTATACAGTCAAACCTAGGTTTTTGAACGTCTCGGTTCTCAACCAATTCGGTTTTTGACCAAAAATTTCGAGTTTTTTATGGCTCGGATGATGAACAAATTTCGGTTCTCGAACGAACTGAGCGCACTTGAATGCACCATTTGACTCCTCTCTACTTCCTTACACGAGGAAGTGACGCTTACTCGTGTTGCTTTCCATTGTGAGCAGACGTATTCAGTAAACATTTTTATTTTAAAAAGAGCGTGGTTTCGGTTTTCGAACAGTCTTCTGGAACGGATTATGGACGAAAACCGAGGTTTGACTGTATTATATAACGTCCATTGCGTTATCGATATATTTTTGGGGGGCAAGTGCACACATCGACATGTCCAAAGGTAAACTACTCCGCTACTCTGCAGCAGCCCCCCCCCCCCGCCCCCTTTACACGTTTGATGTATTTCTGCATTTGGAGCTCCGTGTTGTGTGTGTGAAACGCATTTACTCACCCGTACGTCCCCGCTCCGTCGTCGTCTATTCCCTCGTTGTACTTGACCCCTTGATACCTCGCCAAGGTCGAGTTGAAGAAACGTTCCGACGTGTCCAGGTCGAAGCAAACGTATTCCTTGAAGCTGATTGTGTAACCGTTGTCGTAGCATTCTGATCCGGGGGCCCTGAGGTGAGGGGAAAGTGACATGAAGGTGTATAATAATGTACAGACGTGTATATATACATTTATATATATATATTAAAAAATACATAAATATATATATCGCCAAGGCAGAGGAGTGTGACTGCACAGTTTTTAAGGATGAGCAAGTTGTAACCAGTCGACTCGATTGCAATGGTGCCGTCCCCCTTGACAGCGATTCGAATACAAAGACGACAGCCGTAAGTGTTCGGACAGCAGTGTTTTGTATTTGCGAAATCAGAATCACTTGAACCATCCTCTGACTTTACTGCGCTGGTTAATTGTGTATTCGAAGACACACACAAAAAAAACTCTTGTCCTGTGTTCGGTGTCTGTTTTTTTGATGTTGTTGTTTGAAACAAATGAAACTGCTCAGCGTTTGAATTTGAATACACTGACTGTACAAAATGTAAGGAAGAGATTTGCTTGGGTTGCTGCAGCAATGACGTTTTTTTTTTTTTTCCCTGCTTCGGTCATTCTTCTATCACACGCTACTGCAGTGAACATTTAAAGAAAAAAAAAAGAAGGAAAAAAATTCAAGAGATAAGACCACTAAAAATCGTAATCACCTCGTTTGTACTTTTGTAAAAAGGCTCCCTTCCATACGCCCTCTGTCCAACTTTGTCCCGTATTATTAATCTTCTGGATGGTGATGTTAGTGGGTATTCTTCCTGTGTTCTCTTTTTTTTTTCTGGAACTGTAATCTAGTTTGTATAAGAAATGGTGCACATGTAATAAAGCTTGGTGAGGCTCCACATGCTCGTTGTTCCGTCTTTTTGTCGGCGCTCCCTTTTATCATCCAAAAAAGACGTTTTCAAAATATTTTCCGCACTATAAGGCGCTTCGGAGCATAAGGCGCACACTTCAAAAAAATTGTTTTCATACATAGAGGCACCACATGATAAGGTGCATAGAATAGAAGCTACAATCGTGGCTGCGGTTGCGCTAGGCATCCACCAGATGGAGTTATGCTAAAGGGAATACAATAAAATACAGCTTTATTTCATATAGAGCTTTCACGAGCGCCGCAGTTGTAACAAAGCACTTTACAGAACATAAGAGAAAATACGACGTCCTAAAATCAGAATATTGATCCATATTTAAGGTGCATCGGATTATAAGGCGCACTGTCAGCTTTTGAGAAAATTGAAGGCTTTTAGGTGCACCTTATAGTGAGAAAAATACGGTAGATGAGTAGTACATTATATAAAAAAATGAAATTATCTTATAGCTGTCATTGTCTTTGTTTTTTCTCTACTACTCCGCTCTACAGCAGCCAGAGGAGAAAAAAAAAGACTCAAACCTAACTTGGAGTTTAAGGATTAATAGATTGCAGTTTGGTACAAGTTGTATATTTCTGTACCTTTTTACATTGGCCATGTAGTAAACTTTGATTGTCTACTTATAATGCGAGCTGAATTTGGAAGTGAGTGTTGGAAAGTCACACAAAGACTCGCAATGCGAGCAGTGAAAAGGGCAATAATATCGCGTCCCGTCTCATGTTGATTCACACAAGCTGACTGCTTTTTTTTGGGACTTTTCGTTGCACCTCCTATTCACCCGGGATACACCATGAGAAAGACTCCGTGTTCCTCTCACGTTCCTGGAAATCCTCTTACACAATGTTTGTTTGTGGAAGGCTTCGCTGAACAAGAGCAGACATCCAGAAACTTTTTTTTTTTTTTTTTTTGGGCACACCTCTCCAACTTCTTATTCAAGCTTCAGATCAATTATGAAGCCTTTAAAATACTGTACGGCTAGTTTGTTGTCTCAGCTCATTGGTACGGCAATTGCAGTCATTCTACACAGAGGATAAAGACTATATGATGGTGAGTATTGTCGGTCTATATGAGTTGCTGCACTGGAAACTTCAGGTTAAGGATCGCTCCGGACAAGCTAGTTCGCACGAAGCTAGCAGACTGTAAGGCTAAACTATGGCGTGATTTGAAATCCAGATCACTCCGTGTGTATCGACGGTATCTTATCAGTTTATTTATCTGCCCATCCATCCGAGTGGTTTGTCTCTCTCGAAGGCTGACAACTGAGTCAGTGGTGTCTTTGTGCCCCGAGTGTCGTGCACGCGCGTATGCTAGATTGCTGCAGTGAGATGATGTCATCAGCGTATCGGCTGACTGTAACGGAGCACGGCGGAGCGTGCCGATTTGCGCGCCAGCGCGTGCAGCCCCAACGTTCACGCTCGCGCCAGACAAAGTGACACCGTTTGCTCCACGGGAGCATGTTTCCCCATGCTCACCCCCCCCCACCCCGGCACCTCCGGCAGGAACATTGCATCCATCACGAGTAGCGGCGTGTGAGGATGCGACGCGCAGTATTGGTGCGAAAAGTGGCAGGGGGTGAGGTGCGACGAAATGACAGAAATACAGCGTGTGCAGGGGGAAGTGAGAAATGCTGCCGTGCGTCAGAAGGTGCCAGGGTGACATGTTTGAAAATAACCACGTGATGTGCCGCTATCTGCGTGTTCACGTTTGTATAACGCACCAAAAAGCAAAACAATCTATTACCACAGTTTCTCTGGCTTGAGGGCCTCGGCGTGTGACGCAATGACGTATGCAAAATGTCAATTGGTTACTTGCTGATGAACAGAAGGCTTCTGGAAGGTGTGCCATCGTGCCCCCCAGGAGAATAAAAAAACAAGTTCTCGTTTCAGTTAGTAAATATTCTTGCTGGGCACACGTGGGCATTTAAAATCGGACTGCTAATTCACACGCAACTTCTTTATTGGAAGTGCGGCGTTTCGGCATCTGAGTCTAGGTGCAGTATTTTCTCTAATATTGGCCCCAACTCAAATTGATGCCTTTCAATTTGCTGTCAAGTCAACAAATAAATGCCTCAATTTGTCTTGCCGTCTTTCGTAAAATATTAACCTTTTCTAAAAAAGGATCCCATCTCAAATATGCACTGACGATGTCACGATGAGGAAATGTATTTGGACTTCAGTCACAAGTTGTATCTCCAACTTTATGTTTTCAGCTCCCATTCCCCTCAGCTGTCAGTGACAATTAAGCCCCCCATGCACACAGGGTCATGGTCACAATGCACCACACATCAATATAACTTCGAAGGACGTACACAAAGCGGGATTTCAGAGCGGTGCTGTCAGTGGCCTGTGTGCAATCACTGATGCCGTGCAAACGTGGAGTGAATTACAGCCCGCGCTCGCCATTAAAACCAGCAGACAAAGCGCATTTACTTTCATTAGACCCATTCTTCACCTTTACAGCGTTCCACCCGTCTTCGCCTGTTAAGTCTTATCGCGGAGATGGCGAGCAAGGGAAAGTCTGAATTATCAAAATTCCCACATAAACATATAACAGTAATACGAGAAGCAGTTACTTTCCTTTCGGCACCAGACATATTAATCAGTTTATATCAGTAAATATATACATATTTTAAAAAAGGCTCATGGTTAAAAATGCAACATGGAACCCATGAAGATTATTTCAGTAAATATTGTTGTGCAATCACAAACTTCATGGGAAATATGGTGTTGTGACAAAACATGAGCTGATTAGTAACAGTCCTCATGTTAATACCACAATCATTTTCAGTCGATTAGCAACTCTCACTTTTTGCCCCCCCCCCAAAAAAAAACAACATTAACAATAGCAATGGAATTGAAAAACTTTTATTTTATTTTATCCAGTTACAACTTTGGTGTGAAACTGTTGAGTTTGTGTACTGGGTTTGGCCTGCGGTGGATTTTGGACACATATTTTGTCATACCATCCCATGCAACTGATTAAAACAATGCTTAAATGTTTTATGTCCTAGCATGAATTGTGTTTGATGAACATAACGACACGTGTACACGCTTAAAATCTGAGACCATATTGGCATTGGTTGGTTTTACAATACTTTTGAATGTATTCAGGGAGCACGCCCACCTCAGGTAGCGCAATTAACAACTTACGGTCAGGTGCTCGTAAAAATGATTCATTCAATTAAATGTCTGACAAACTTGAGCATTAAGATAAAGGCATACATTTGCAACTCTCTTTTCTGAATTGACTTTTATCTACCGTTTCACACAAGCGAAAGTCGGCAATGTAATTTAAATGATATCACCGTACCCGTATTTTGACAGCTGCAGAAGACACCGTTCTTGTCGCGTGTCGTGACGTCATCGACCCCGTCGACTGATGATGATCGCACAACAGTTGAAGCCGAGTGCCGGGTCACAGCGGAATATTTCAACTGGCGATTGGATCCTCTTCAATTTTTTTTATTATTGTATGCAAATAACAATGTAGCTTGTGCGTATAAAAATGTAGCTTACTCAACGAACTTTGAAAGCGTCATATTTTTGTAGGCATGTACAATTTTGTGATTTTTGGAAGACGACTATTTCTATATTATTATTCTTATTTTTTTTTAGTACTTAAGGATATGGTGGAGTTTCCTGGACATGGACAGTAAGTATTTAATATCCTCCTGACATTGTGTTTATATTCTATCATAAAACCACACAATTGGCCGTCTCTCCCCGTTTGTTGTGCTCGCTACCACAGCAACATGCGGTCGCCATGGAGACGCGGCACCGCGGGACTCCTCGTTCGCTCGGTGTCCTCCGTTCCACCATAAAACCAACCATTCTCCCTTAAGCAAACCATGTTAGAAACGTAAATATAAACGGGAGTTTAATCATGAAGACAAAACGGAGCTAATTCATGAGCTGAGCCGAGGTCACGTCGGCCAAATGGGCTCCACGGAGAGGAAATACGAGCTGTGCGGGCCTTTTCTGCCGAGAAGGCACCCCTCGTTGAAGACGAGTGCAGAGATAGTGGGGGAAGCAAGAAGGATTCTCCGAGCTCAGTCCACCCAGCGACCTCACACTCCAACAGATGCACACAGGCAGTTGTTTGCAAGAAGCTCTGTCCGTGCAGACCACGGCAGCAGACCTTCCTCCACCTTCAGGTATGTCTTCCTCCTCTATTTGTGTCACCAAATCTGCCGTATGAGACACATTTACACTTTTGTTTTTCATCTTGACAGTCTTCACGCAACGAATTTTGACGTCGGAGACTCCAGGCCGAGTTCAGGGGCTCGCCTATCTCCATTGGAACATGTAGGTGACCACTGAGTTGAATAATGCAACAGGGATCGAGAACTGTCCTTGAAGCGTCTCAATGTGACCATCCTGCTACCTCGAGCACCTGCCACTTGATCCTATCAAAAATCAATGGGTTCTGTTCTCAGAATTTTTGAAGGATCTTAAATTTCCGCCGCAAAAAAAAACCTAGAAGACCTTGGATGGTCGAACCCTGAAAGGCATGATGCAAAACCTTGGCTAAACATAAATCCTGACATTGCCACCGACAGCATAAAAGTATGTTCTTTCCATGCCAGAAGACAAAGATTCAATTTCTCGGCAACGATGACATTTGCAAGTCATCTCCCAAACCTCCCGCCGACCCGCTGGAGACGAGGAGGCCGTTGGTGCGAACGCGGGCGCGTCTCTTAAGGGCGACACCTCTCACGACGTTGCCTCCTTTAGCGGCGCACGCAGATGGTGAGGAACAACCCTGACCTCAATTTACATCCTCTGTCTCCGAACAAAGAGTTGCTTTCGACTTTGCCCGCTCACTCCAGACGCCCTTTTTTTCTGTGTGTTAGCGTCGCAAGAAAGATTACATCAAGACCCGGCGAAAAAGCTGCCAGCGGCCCAAGCTTTTGTCTCTGGAGACCACAAGGAGGCCTTCGGCGCGCCTTATTTCTGTGCGCCGCGCAGAAGTCAGACGGAAAGGTATTTGCTTCTCCTGCTTTCACTTCCATCAAGTTGTCATCCCGTGATGAACACAAGATTTACTGGCAGCTATTACTAGAGGGCTAGAAATTTCCGCCGCAAACCTCGTCGGCTGTGTCAGGACGAGGGGACATAACTCCGCCGTTCCAATCCATCCGCGTATTGATTGGTACCCAGGTGGGAGTACTAACAATAAAACACATTTCACATCAAATGTCAGAACTGCGGCAGAGGCCAAAAGGATGCGGCAACCCTTCATAAATGATTGTTTCCGTCTGTCTACTTTCGAGATTGTTTGGAGTCGCTCGAGTTACATGCGAAAGGCAGGCGGAAACCCGCGCAAGCAAATGTGCACATGAGAGCGAGTCTGAAATTTCCCAGCTTTCTGCAACGTGTCACGTCAGCTCGGATAAGCTCCATCCCAAGCGGTGACCCTGAACAGGATAAAGCGCTATAGGGAAGGGACAGATGGGACGATTGGCTGGGAGGAATCACATGCTTCTTACAGCCTTGGGGGGG